CCTTTATTCTTGCATTCAACAAATATTAATTGAGGGCGTTCCCTGCAATAGGTTCTGTGCTGGACATGGTGGGGATGGGGGCTAGTTGGTCAAAGCTGAGCAAAAATAGGTATTGTTTCTGCTTAGAGTTATGATTTAATGACTGGATGATCTTAAAAGTCCCCCTAACTGTTGACAGTCTATAATTACAAATTTTATTGTTTGGTAAAAGTACATTATAAAAGGCTTAAACAAAAGCAAAAATATTTGTCATGTTTTTTCATTACTTCTTCTCAATACCTAGAATGCCTGGCTCATTGCAAGTGCTTGGTAACAAGTTATCAAATAATTAATTAAATAATTAATCATATTTCAAATACTTTAAAGCATTTGAGGAAAGACTATGTAGATACTGAAGCTATTTTAGTAGAAAAGAACAGTGACTTCCTGTTATAATCAGCAGATGTGTGTTGAGTTTCATCTTTTCTTCTAGGTGCAGGCAAAGAATGACTAGAAAAGTGGGGGGATTTGGAAGAATGTAACCTGATTCTACACCAATAGTGGACAGAAAGTATGGCTGCTTCTCAGGGTCACCTAAATTTTTGTTCTTTTGTTGCCCCTTTTGAATTCTGATCCCTTTATTCCACGAATATATAATTCTTCTCACCTTCCCCAACCTACTTTCACCTTTTTTATTTTGAATGTTTTAATTTTCCTCAAATCATACATAATAGCTCTCAACTTTTTAGAAAGAGAGTTTTGAAGTATTATTTTGTTTCTACAGCTAATCCTTCTGTGTGATTCTAAACAGCTTAAATCACTATTATGTTCTTTTATAGTTTGAAGAGGGCACTAAATATGTTCTTTCTTAGAGTTGATCATGATAGTAAACCACCCTGGGCACACCTGCAATAGCCAAAGTTTTGGGCAAGGCTGGGAAACTAAGTAAGTTCTCTAGATAGATTTCAAATTGCCATAGAAGGCCCTCACTAAAATAAATCTGGAAGCATTCTTCAGTCAGAAAATTAAATGATTCATTAGCATACTAAATTTCTGTAATCTATGAAGAAGACATCTGGTACATAAAGTATTATGATGATCAAAATTGAATTAGTTTCTTCCAAAATTTTTTTTGCTGGAAAATATGATAGGTATGCTGGTTCTTTAAAGGTTAATAACAGTAATTGTAAAAGGCTATTGCCTTAAAAAATCTTTATGAGAAGTAGTAAGTAGCCTTACTAAAATGACTGCAATTTGGAAATAATGTATAGTCAGTTACAAACCCCTGAAATAAATCAGAGTTTAAAACTTTGGTAAAATATGAGTCATAAAATAAAATTTTTCATCATAGCTACAACCTTATTTACAAGACAGCCTCATTTGATTATAAAAATCTCATCTATTTGCAAGGAGTTATACATTCTCTCTTACTGGAGAGATCTTTTAAAAATATTATTAGATAGTGTTCCAAAGAAGGGATTCCAAAAATATATTTAGCAGCATTGGTCTTATTTGGCTGTAAATGTTCGGCTTTGTATGAATACAAACATACAGCTGACTGACCTGAGAGAGGCATGCGTTTTTAGGAACCCCTCTAATGTTCTTCTAAAAGAACCTCATTTCTGGGACCTCATCAAACTAAAGAGTTATTGCACAGCAAAGGAAACCATCAACAAAACAAAAAGACCACCCACTTAATGAGAGCACATATTATCCAATGATATATCCAATAAATGACTGATATCAAACATGTATAAAGAATTACAACCCAACACCAAAAAAGTCCTATTAAGAAGGGGACAGAGGACCTCTGAATAAACACTTCTGTGGAGGGAACATACAGATGGTCAATAGACATGAAAAATGCTTAACTAACCATCAGAGAAATGCAAGCTAAAACCACAGTGAGATAGCACCTCACACCTGTCAGAACTGCTACCATCAATGAAGCAACGAACAAGAAGTGTTGGGAGGTTGTAGAGATAAGGGAACCCTTGCTACTGTTGATGGGAATGCAATTAGTACAGACAGTATGGAAAACAGTGTGAAGTTTCTTCAAAAATTAAAAATGGTTGAGCACGGGCCTGTGAACCAGACAATTGTGGTTCGATTCCCAGTCAGGGCACATGCCAGGGTTGCAGGCAAGTTCCCTGCAGGCCAGTTCCCAGCAGGGGATGCACAAAAGGCAACCATACATTGATGTTTCTCTCCCTCTCTCCTTCCCTTCCCCCTCTAAAGATAAATAAATAAAATCTTTAAAAAAATTAAAAATGGAACTGCTTGATTACCCAGCAATTTCACATCTGGGTATGTATTGAAAGGAACCCAAAGTGCTAGTTTGAAAGAACATATGTACCTCTTTTTCATTGCAACATTATTTATAATAGCCAAGATATGGAAGCAACACAAGTGCCCATCAACAGATAAGTGGATAAAAAGTTGTAGTACATATGTACAATGGAGTATTACTTGGACATAAAAAAGAACAAAAATCATAGACCTGGCCAGGTGGCTAAGCTGGTTGGAGCATCGTTCCATGAACAAAATGTTGTAGGTTTGAACCCCATCAGGGTACATACTTAGGTTGCCGGTTCAGTCCTCTGTGGGAGTGAATACTGGAGGCAACAGGTGGATGTTTCTCTCTCTGTCTTCCTCTCTCTTTAAAATAAATATGTTTTTGGGTGATAATGAAAAAAAAAAGAAAAAAATCTTATCCTTTGTGACAGCATGGATGGACCTAGATAATTTGTGCTAAGTAAAATAATTCAGACAATGAAAGACAAATACGATATGATCTCACTTATATGTGAACTCTAAAGAATAAAATATTGAGTTTGCCAAAATGTTTAGATGGTTTTTTCCCTTAAAATAAAGACACAGTTTTATTGATTTGGATATTTTGAGTTTGTCTGCTATTTCCTGCATGATATACGTTGATTTTTCTCAATTAATGTCTTGATTTGATTGCTATCAACTTCAACTTGTCTATCCAACTGTGGAGCATCATTGTCCAGCAAGAAATCTCCAACATGAGACTTCACAAACCACTTTTGACGCATCTGATGAGTCATAGCACCTTCTTCATACACTACACAGATCTTTTTTTGTGTGTTTCAGTCATGTTCTTGCCTTTCTTGAAGTAATAAAGCATAATATGCTGAAAATGTTGCATACTTTCTTCCACAGATAGAGAGAACAGACTGATGGATGCCAGAGGGGAGAGGGGTTAGGGGGCTGTGCTAGTTACAAAATAGTCATGGGGATGTAAAGTGCAGCATAGGAAATATGGTCAAGAATATAGTAATAACAAGGTATCATGTCAGGTGGGTGGTGGAAATATTGGAGGGATCACTTTGTAAATTATATGATTGTCTAACCACTATGCTGTACACCTAAAACTAACACAAAATAACTTAGATGTAAACTGTGATTTAAAAACAAACAAACAAACAAACAAACAAACGCCCCCATTTCTCTAGTCTCAACATGTCTCAATTCTTAGGAAGTTCTGCTTATAAAGTTGACCCTTGGCTGGCATCTAGGAAGTTGGATTTTGAGAGAGTTCTCATTGTTCCCTTACCTAAGAGTATTCACTGTGCCTAAACTATGCAACAATGTGGTTTGTATTGGATGTCTGTTTTCCTTCTGGGTGTCTGGATTTGGTTACTGCTAGATAGCAGGTGTCTCCATGACCAGCCCCATAAAAAAACTCCAGTTCTGTTAGCTCAGGCGGGCTTCCCCAGTAGAGGACATCTCAAACAAGTCACAGTTCACTGCTGGAGGAATTACACAACCCTATCCTATGGACCATTGAATACTTGTGGGGAGAGGATTAGTGGATCTTGTGCCTGGTTTCCTCTGAACGTCACCCATGTAATTTTTCCCTTTGCTTATTTTGCTTCATGTCCTTTCACTGTGATAAATCACATCCATGAATAAGACTGTGCATTGAATCTTGCAAGTCCTCCTAGCAAATCATTGAACTTGTGGGTGGTCGTGGGGACCCTTGATACAGGAAGTTTAGGTTAGTAAAACAAGTGATTTCAGGGAAAATAAATTCTCTTTCCACTAGCTGGCATATTATAAACTATCTTGTCGCATGAAATCAATTGTCTGAGTTCTTTAGGGAAACCAGACAGAAGAGTTATTAGTAAAGTCACCTGCTTCCCACAGGGAAAAAAAAAGTGATACTTTAAAGACACAAAGCACACTTGCCTTATATTTTTTATTTCAAGAAATCAAAAACTGCCACAATGGTTTGAAGAGGTTAGTAATTTGTCTCACATAACAAAAAAAAAGTCTGAGGAGGATGTGTTTGAGTGGTATGGTCACTCAGTGACAGATTTTTATCTCTCTGTTCCACCATCCTTAGTGTACAGTTTTTGTCCCCATGATCACAAAATAGCTGTTACACTGCCAGGTATGTTTGATGCCTCAGTCATCAAGAATGGGAAAAGTAAAGGGCAAACACTTCCTCTGGATTCCTCCCCAGAGAGTTCTGTATATAATTGGCCATCAGTGTGTTACATGGACGTCCTTAGCTTTAAGGGGAGCTGGAAATTCAAGTATTTCACTTTCCAGCCTTTATAATACTAGAAATAAGGAATGAGAGAGTTGGGATGATGGTTCAATCATCCACATGAATTATCTGTCACAATTACTCTGACACCAATGGAAAAATAGATACACAATTTATGTTGATTTCCTATGTTAAGAGCCTATATATGGATATTTTGATTGTAAGGCTGAGATTAAAGGCCATGGTCATTTCTGTGTGGACTCCTTGCTCCCAATGTCATAGCTTTGTTGCTGAGCTCTTTATATGTGTCATTGAACAACCTTCTGGAGGTAAATGCTTCTGAACTTGGAAATCATATTACTATGATAGCAATTTCTTTTTATCTTAAAGCTCTTGGGACATGGTATGAAAAGAGCAAATGCATTGCACTATCATATGAACAGACGAGACAAAATACTAACACTTCTCCCACTCCCCACCCCCATCTTGTTTTTTTCCTTAGAAGCTGTAGATGAAACCAAACCTAAGGAAAGTGCCCGGCAGGAGGAGGATAAAGGAGAAGAACGTGAGGTGGACCAAGAACATGCCTGAACTCTAAGAAATGGCTTTCCACGTCCTCACTGTCCCCTCTCCGGGACCCTGTCTCTCCCTCCCTCTTCTCAGCTCCACTCTGAAGTTTCCCTTCCTGACCTGCTCACACCTGTGAGTCTGTCCTCTCCCACCCACTAGCCCTCTTTCTCTCTATGTGGCAAACATTTAAAAAAAAAAGCAGGAAAGATCCCAAGTCAAACAGTGTGGCTTAAACATTTTTTGTTTCTTGGTGTTGTTATGGCGAGTTTTTGGTAATGATGATCCAATCATTTTGGGAAATTCTTGCACTGTATCCAAGTTTTTTGAATTGGTGCGTGTGGCCCTGTGGGAGTCCACTTTCCTCTCTCTCTCTCTCTGTTCCAAGTGTGTGTGCAATGTTCCGTTCATCTGAGGAGTCCAAAATATTGAGTGAATTCAAAATCATTTTTGTTTTTCTCCTTTTCAATGTGATGGAATGAACAAAAAGAAAAAAATTCAAAAACCCAGTTTGTTTAGAAAATAAATAAAGCAAATGTGCCAATTAGCGTAACTTGCGGCTCTAAGGCTCCTTTTTCAATCTGAATATTAATAAATCATGAGAATAATCAAACTCTAATGTCTCCGTGTCTCTCCTTCACTTTCTCATTGATCTGGTACCTCTCTAATTGAGGTCTTATATTTTATCTCATTCTTGACACCAACAACCCTGATAAAGAAAAGACAGGTGAAGCCTAAGGCTCCAGTCAGAACCAATAGCTTTTGTCCTTGATGGGATGGTTGGGGGCTACACTGGTTCCCTAGTCTGCTGTAGCAAATTGCCACAGACTGAGTGGCTGAAACAACAGAAATTTATTTTCTTACCGTTCTGGAGGCTGGAAGCCTGAAATCAAGGTATTGAGAGTGTTGGCTCCTCCTAAGGGCAATGAGGGTAGGACCTGTTCCAATCCTCTCTCTTTGACATACAAATGACCATCTTCTCTCTACGTGTCTTCATTGTCTGTGGGTGTTTATATGTCTAACTTCACCCTTTTTGTAAAGACACCAATCATACTTGGTTAGGGCCCACCATAATGACCTCACCTTAACTTTATTACCTCCAAATAAAGCCATACTCCAAGGCATTGGAAGTTAGGATTTCAACATCTGAATCTGAGGAGGAGGGGCACAATTCAGACCATAAGAGGAATTAAGACTTACCATTACTGAAGTCATTTCAGAGTATTTTCATCCCTCAAGAGAAGTATGCACTGGAAGGTTATTCTAAGTTTTGCTAAGTTAAATATTATAAAGAAATGCATAACTCAGAAACTTTTGTTTAGATGATTTCATTTAGCCCAAGTATTGACACAGCCCGTTCTATCTTTTTGTGCTTATTAACTTCTGTGGGACTTATCCCCACATGAGGCAGCTCTTAGATCCTTGATTATTTACTGTCATTGTTGCTGCTCATGGTGATAATATATAAAATGGTGTCCATTTAGCATATCTGTCCTTTTCAAATTTCCTTCCAGTTGCTTTTTTCTGAAGACCATCTATTAGAAGATAAATAGTTCCCATGAGAAATAGCAATGTTCCTAAACCTTGAAGAACCTGATGCTCTTTTTTTTCCCCTCTAAATTTCATAAATAAATCCTGGTATAAATTCCTAACAAGTCATACCCTGCCTAACCCTGAATTCTCTCCCATAGATAAGCATGGACAATGGACCCTCTTCAACTTCCTATAATCATCTGCACATAGAATTTCTTAGCAAAGAAAATTGTTTCAAGACCTTCAAATAATAAAGATCACAGTATTTCATTGTATAAATGGACACAATAGAATACTATGTAGCAGAAAGAAAGAAGAAGGAATTCCTACCCTTTGTGACAGCATGGAAAGAACTGGAGACTATTAGGCTAAGTGAAATAAGCCAGTCGATGAAAGACAAATACCATATGATATCACTTATAAGAGGAATTTAATGAACAAAATAATAAGAAAAACAGAACCAGAGACATGGAAATAGGGAACAGACTGACAGCTCCCAGAAGAAAGGAGGTGTGGGAGGGGAGGGAGAAGTCAAAGAACATGTATGAATGACCCATGGACTTGGATGGACTATAGGAGTGGGGGATGGGACAGGACAGAAGAGGGCAAAGCTGGAAAATTGGGGCAATTGCAATAGAATTAAAATAAAATAAAAATTTAAAAGTCAAGGAAATATATGATGTTAGGGGGTACAACCTACACCTTGGTAACTACTCAGCTCTGTGTGGAGCTGGTCCCTCCTTAGTGCTTTGAAGAAAGCTAATGTCACATGAAGGATCAGTACTGACCAGATCAAGGGGTTGTCTCTTGGCACTTAGATGAAGTGCAATTTCCTTTGAGAGAAGCAACCAAAAAAAAAAGGTAAAAAATCATTAATTGTATTAAAATAATTTAGGAGTTTTACAGTCATTCCAGCTTGGTATGATTTCAAAGAATTTGAAGCAAGTACCTGGGACTCAATCTTCACCTGATTAAAATCTCATCAGATTTGAGATGAGGTTTTAGAAAAGGTCTTCCATAGGATGGAGCCATGTTGGCAGTACATTGTTTTAGGGATTTTATTTTACCTCTAAGTTGTTGGGGTTTTTGTATAATAAATGTTTTAATTTCTTTTCTAAATTTATCATTGAAAGCAACATTCCTATGACTTGAAACAGTTCAACTTCTTCAAGGTATGATTCTAAACTTCTTCCACTGAATCCATGCTCACACTGAAAACAATAGCATATAATTTTTAAGTCTATGTTAATATACATTGTTTAGTGATCTTGCTAATCTTGTCAGAGTTGGGGTTTTGTCTTGTACTTATGAATATCTATTTTTATTTGTTCTACAAAGCCTTGACTCCTTAACAGAATTTTAAAGGTGGGAAAAGACACATCAGAGAGGTTCATAATAATCTTAAAAGACGCACTAGGAATTGCAGGCTTCACACTGACACAAAGCAACATGATTCAAACTTGTGCACAACATACACAAAGTCAAGTGATACTGGGAAACAGATCATTCAAGGCACAAGGGTAGATTCCAATTCTGTTCAGAAAGCAACATGATTTGTTGATTCTAAAATATCTGCAGCTGGTTTACTTTCTTAAAAAGACAGACTAGGTTGAGAACAAGTAAAGAAAGTTTTCAACATTGGCAAGTGATTCTTTAAAAGCATAATAAGATCTGGGCACCAAACTCAATATCCGATTATTAGAAAACCATGGCTGTGTCTGCATGGAGTAATCTCTTCACTGAGCTGTATCATTTGGTTCTAAAATGTTCAGTCCTGCTGTAATACAATTTGAGTCTCTTTGAAGATGAAAGCATTTCTAAAATAGAACTCTATTCCTATTACTCTATACTTTGATCATCCTGCAATCTTTTTCACCATCAGCTACCCAGTGGCCTAGTTCAGAAATCTAGGAAGCAGCCTGATTCATCTTTTTTCCCCCACAAGACATTTAATTCATGAGCAAATTTGTTGATGTGGTTTGCAGAAGAAAATAAGGATGTACTTGTGCCTGCTACTTTGATCAGAAAAGTGAAGAAAAATTTTTATTTTTCTTCGTCAGTTTGAGGTGATCTGAGGGTCTTTTACAATTGTCCCTTCCCATATTCTGCTCCTAAGGGAGATTGGAGAAGGTTTACCAAATCTCTGTCTCAGTTTCCCAGGGAAAAGAAACCTCAGAACTCTAAAAAATGCATTATTCCCAACATTAGCCAGTCCAAGGAAAGCCCATTCTGCAGTTGGCATAGAAGCCTGAGCACTAAGAAAATCAAATTAATCAGCAATTTCCATAAAGCACGTTAGGATCATCTCAAATTCCATAGCTTTTTTTTAACCTTTCATATATTGGTTTGTTGTCATGGAAACAGTTTCTGCTAAGCTGGCTTTAAAATTAATTTAATGATTGGTGACCCTTCTAGCTAAATGCTAGCTAATGAGATTAGAAATGTGTGCTTTCTTCATTTCAAAAAAAAAACTCATTTTTTTTCTCTAGGAGATTAAAACTCATACTTGCCTATCATCTAAGCAAGGCCTGTATTCACACCTATCACCTCTTTTTGTTACATATTTACTCCTATATAATTGCAAATTTGTTTTTTCTTCCTGAAAAGAAATTCAGTTGTTGAGAAGGAAGACAAGATTACAGCTATGAGAATGACAAGTCACTAAATGCTCTTGGAAAATTCCATTAAAGAGGCAAGGACGTTTTGAATGCACACTTTCCGGCATATTGGTTACCTGATTTTTATTTTTACAGATTTGTGCTACTGTTGGCAATTACAACATGTCTACTGTCACAGATGGCACCTCACTGATACTGTACATTTTGATGAAGTGAGAAGCCTCCATTCAAAAAATAGGCGTTCCTGGTTAACATTGCATCACACATGATCAGGCTATGAGAGCACATGGGGTTGTCATGAAAATCTTAAACTACTTTTATTGCTTAACCACCCAAATAATACTGTTTGAAAGGAAGAAAATAGAAGTAAGAAAGAATATAAGATCATTCACAATTTACCATTTGAGCATGTTAACATTTAGAGATATATCTTCACAAAGTCTGCCTATTTGTCTGCTTTACTCCCTTCCTATTGTATTATCCACTTATCTATTTATCTACATTCATATGTATATATACAGATATGTATATTTGAGACATCAGTTGGCTCATGCTTTATATATTATTTTGCAAACTGCTGAACATATTGAGGTCATTTTCATGCAGACTGACAAAATAGAGACAGAGGACTTTAAAATTCATGATTCTTATTACTTACCAGTGCCTTATGAAAGCCTGATACAAAAAGGAAAATGTGCATTTCTATATACACTTATTAAAATACTATCCCATTTTTTAACTAAGTGGGAAGGTTAATAAAAGCTCTATAATGAAAAACATGACTACACAGAAAGCCCCATGTTGCCCAATCTGTTGGCACATTGTTGTGGACCCTGATAAACCCTCCTGCTGGTGGGCATGGGCTGCGTTGCCTTGCCAGACGAGGAAACTGAGGGTTGATTGGAAAGGACAGACACTGTTGCCTAATAATGCAGGGTCAACAGCAACCTGTCTTTATTTGACATTTTCATTGTTTAGTGTAGATATTTTTGCATTAATTTTGATTTTTTAACATATTGCCTTAAAATATTACTTATATTGATTGCTATTTTGATGGGACCTTAAATTTTGCCCTTGAGACAAGCACCTCACTTGCCTCACCCAACTCCTGGCCCTGAGTCTCCTGAAGGGAATGCTAGAGTTGTTGTTTTCCAGACCAACATTTTCTGATGATTATATGAGGTCTTAGTGATTATTCAGAACTATAATGCTAAAGACTAGGTTGGCCCATGAGGACCTGAGATTTAAATTCCTAGAAAGCTAATGGAATTACTTTAAGAAGTTTCCTTACTTTGTAGAGAAGGTATAGACTATGAATGCTGAATATAGAAAACATGGAGTAATTCCAAGCCGGTCGGGTTTGTGGTAAACTGAAGAATTCATGACCTACTTAAACACTCTGAAAAATAA